AATAAATGAAAAATCTTTGAGTTTGACTCTTTGGTCTTAAATTTTAAGAAATAAATGTGTAAAATTACAGGAAAAGATTCTGGTAGCTCGCTCCGCAGACTGTCCTCTAATTATACGTTTGTGTTAATTAATATAAATAAATAAACAAAACCCAAAAACAGACATTTCTGCAGAAAGTTGTTAAAAAAAACAGTTTTGTTGTTTATTACTTAATTACTGGGGTATAATATTGATGGGCACTGGGGAGGTTTTTATCAGCTCAAAAGACTGTGAGATTTATTAAAATACATTTAAAAGTAAAAAGTTTAAAGTCATCCAATGAGGTGGATTGGAGTCTTTGCCTGGCCAATTCTGGCCCATGGGCCTTATGTTTGACACCCATGTTTTAATTACTTTGCCCAGCCTTCGAGGCTTATAAATGATCTTTGAACCTGTCACAGGTGACATGCAGCACTGATGCAGTGTTTTATAAATTAGCTGTGATTGTTCGCAGTGTAGTGCCATTTATTTGCACCTTTGGTTTGGTGAGTCTCAAATTACAGCTGGGATATTAGTAGAATATTTGATTGGTGCTGTCTGGGAATATATATTTTGCATCTAAAATACAGTTGGGGTAGAAGCAGAAATGAATATAAGATAGAAATACTTACAGAAAATGCAAATACTGCCAGATGCTGAAAAGAAGACAATGTGAAACAGACTTTGAGGAAAACTCAAATCAGACAGTTTAAAAGTTTAACTTATTTATTGACTGTGGCAGAGTTTACACAGGGGGTGATATCAACAGGGAGAGTTCCCGAAGCCTGAGCAGGCTATGTGTGACTCTGTTAGCAAAATAATGACATTCATCATTGATATTTAAATCCGTTTTACGTGGCGGCCCAGTCCCGACAGCAGGAACGGCAACAGTGGGAGACAACGTGTGTGATTGGCAGCAGGGCAGAGGTCTGCCTGCATTGGTGAGTAGTGTCTCCACTGTCGTTCACCAGGTGCAGTCGGTTTGGGAGAGGGTCGCCATGGCTATAAGCCAGGTCCGCTTCTGGGATGACTGTTCTGGCCCGTATTTGTTTATTTACAGGGTGATGACGTGAGGGGAGCCACGGTGGTATAGAGCGACGGACGCCAGTGCAGAATGCGTGATGGACCCAGTGAAGGGATGAGAGGGGGGGATAGAGGCTCCTCCCCGTCAGCCTGGGACAAGGCTGGTGTGGACCCCGCTCCGCAAGAGGACTGTCTGTCCAGCTCATGAACACCTATCAAACATTCGTCCTGGGTTGTCAGACGTTACATCGCGGAACCGGGTAGGATTTTAGTGCATGCAGAGAGGGTTTGTTTATTCCCGGGGGATTTTAATATATCGATAACATTTTATTGTTTACTTTAAGAAAAAAAATGTTTTTGTTTTCTTTTTAATTAGTTCTCCCTGGCCTGGAAATAAACAGTTTTTGATCGGACCTGCATTATCATTGTGCCCTGGGTTTCGGACTCTCTTCCTCCCCCTTGTATCTAAAGAACCATCCTCCTTAGTAAGGCATCCTGGCATAACTGCTTTAGTGTCTGTATTACATATATAGTGGACAAAGGAGCTTTAAGATGGAACTGCCAGGTAAGAGTAACAGAGAAAGACCCAAGAGAATTTTGTCGATGAAGTGAGGAAGAAAAGACACCTTTGAATAAAATCAAGAAAAGCCTCCACAGCAGCACACGTTCTTTACCACATTTTGCTTCCACTTGGAATCAAATATGTTAAAAGCATAAAGGTTTTCTTTCTTGTTTGCCTGCCCTAAGACTTAATAGAGACATTAATTAACTTTTTAACCATAACCAAGAAATTCATAGTTTCAATTGTATTTACATAAAATGATGCTGCCATGGAGTTTGAGTTAATATGACCTCCAAATTTTTAAACGGTATAAATAACCTGAACATGAGACAGAATTGATGGATTTAAAGGTCTCAGTAAGTCAGTATAAAAGTAATGTGAGGTCATT